TTCATATAAAACTCCCGGGGCGGGGGACGTTGGTAACTCTGTTACAAATTCTTGTTAACACTCTAGTGGCTGCAGTTTTGATCAAAATATTCCAGAAATTTGTCACAAAGGTTATTTGAATGATTTCTAGGTAAAGTTCGAAGATGGGTCATCTCCAGTCAAAAACTAGGCCACAGGAGCTAAAAATAGAAAAAGCTTGTTAACACTCTACTGGCTGCAGTTTTGATCCACTATAATGAATATTTGTCAGGAAGGTTGTTTTAATGATTTCTAGGTCAAGTTTGAAGATGGGTCATCTGCGGTCAAAAAATAGGTCACAGGAGCTAAAAATAGAAAAAGCTTGTTAACACTCTTCTGGCTGCAGTTTTGATCCAAATATTCTGGAAATTTGTCAGGAAGGTTGTTTTGATGATTTCTAGGTCAAGTTCGTAGATGGGTCATCTCTGGTCAAAAACTAGGTCACAGGAGCTAAAAATAGAAAAAGTATGTTAACACTGTAGTGGCTGCAGTTTTGATCCTAATATCTTGGAAATTTGTCAGAAAGGTTGTTTTGATGATTTCTAGGTCAAGTTTGAAGATGGATCATCTCCGGTTAAAAACTAGGTCACAGGAGCTAAAAATAGAAAAAGCTTGTTAACACTCTTCTGGCTGCAGTTTTGATCTAAATATTCTGGAAATTTGTTAGGATGGTTGTTTTGATGATTTCTAGGTCAAGTTCGAAGATGGGTCATCTCCGGTCAAAAACTAGGTCACAGGAGCTAAAAATAGAAAAAGCTTGTTAACACTCTACTGGCTGCAGTTTTGATCCAAATATTCTGGAAATTTGTCAGAAAGGTTGTTTTGATGATTTCTAGGTCAAGTTTGAATATGGGTGGTCTCCAGTCAAAAATTAGGTTGCATTGTCCAAATATGGAAAACCTTTTTAACACACTAGAGGTCTCATTTTTGACATAATTGTTATCAAACTTGGCCAGGATGCTTGTCTAAGACATTGCTTGGATGCGGTTGATGGGTCAGGGGAGCGATCCAGGGCCATCATGGCCCTCTTGTTTTAAATATTAAAGTATAAATCCAATTACACATAATGTTTATAAACTTCACCAATGCCCAAAATAATCATCAATCAGTCTACACTATATATCTATATCGTCCGCTTTTTATGCCCCCGCCATGTAATGGCCGGGGCATATAGTGTTACCCTGTTCCGTACTTCCGTCATTCCGTCATTCTGTCATTCGTCATCATCAGTTTCCGTTCATTATCTTAGTAACGGTTGCACACATTCAACTCAAATTTGGCATATGGATATGTCATGAGAAAATGCAGGTCAAGTTTGAATTTGGTCATGGTTCGATGATTTTTGGCAGAGTTATGCCCCTTTTACTTTAAAATAATATGAAATTTTCAGTTTCTGTTCATTATCTCCCCAACGGTACAACACATTCAACTCAAACTTGACATATGGATATGTCATGAGAAAATACAAGCCAAGTTCGAATTTGGTCATGGTTTGATGATTTTTGGCAGAGTTATGCCCCTTTTACTTTGAAAATAATATGAAATTTTCAGTTTCCGTTCATTATCTCCCCAACGGTACAACACATTCAACTCAAATTTGACATATGGATATGTTTTTGGAATGCCCAGGCCAAGTTCGAATTAAGTTATGGTTCAATGATTTTTGGCAGAGTAATGCCCCTTTCACTTTGAAAATAATATGAAATTTACAGTTTCTGTTCATTATCTACCCAACAGTGTTACATATTCAACTCAAATTTGACATATGGATATGTCAAAGGAATGGGCAGGTCAAGTTGGAATTTGGTCATGGTTCGATGATTTTTTGGCAGAGTTATGTCCCTTTTACTTTGAAAATAATATAGATACATCTTAGGAATAAGCAGTTTAAGTTTGAATTTGGTCGTGGTTCAATGATTTTGGACAAACTTATCTTTCTTGAATGTTGGAAAAATTTTGAACTTTCAGTTTCAGCACTCATACTTTTGTGGAAATGTATGTAGCCATTATTTTGGCTACAAATATGAAATATGCTATTTTCAAAAGGTTAAGACTGAATAATTTCAGTGCCTTGAACATTGTATGAAAATGGTTGGTGATTACATTGAAAAATTTTAAGGGCTTTGAACTTGAAAATGAAAAAAATAATTTGTGCAAACAAATTTGGAACTAAATATTATAACATCTGAAATTTTGGCTGCATGCGGGGGCATCCGTGGCATGATGACACATTTCTAGTTTCCTCTTTGTCTATATTGTCAGCGTTTTCCCTATATGTTTATATTGTCCGCTTTTTAGACAGGCCCCTTTAAACAGTTAATATAAACGATACAGGGTCAGACCGCTTCCCTGGTCGATGACTTCTAATCCAGTTACCTCTCTGGCGTGGGTTTGATCCCCGGGAGATGCTTTGGTAGTTTAGCACGGAGGAAGGTATCTAGTACTAGTGTAACTCTCCAGGAACGATGGTTAGGAAACTACCCGCCTATATGACTGAAATACTGTTGGAAAAAAGCGTAAAATGAAACAAACAAACATTATACTCAACATCACTAATTACACGTCATCATTTATTACACGGTAATGTCATATTTTCATGTCACCAGTTTTAAAATTGGGTCAGAATTGACATATTTATTCATACACATAAACAATAAAGTTTTTGTGCAAAATAGTTTACATATCTAGATTTTTGCGTAAAATATAACAACAGTTTACAAATTTCTGCAAAAAGCAACAAGAGTCCATTAAATTTGTGCATATGTCTGAAACGATCATCGTTTTCTTAATGTTCATGTTCGTTGAAAAAATAAATTTTGAGTAACATTATAAAGAAAGTTTAATATTGAAAAGTAAACAAAATAACATTTAGAAATTTTAACTGAAACATGAAAAAACTAAAGTGACTAACACCATTACCGCGATTTAAATGATGACATACTCACCGTTTTCAAACTGGCCGACATATGATCTATGTCTGGCCCATTAAAACTGATTTTGATTAATTATATTGTTGTTTCCTTGTGTCATGCAGCAGAAAATATCTATATGTTACAGCTTGTGACAATTTTTGTACCATAAGTTACATTTGTTATTTTATGTTTCAAATCGTTAAGTACCGTGAACTAAGAGGAGCACAGTATAGTTTTGACGCCCTTAACCTGTTAACTGCTTAAGAAGTTAAGTAGACCGCTTTAGTACAGTAGTCCTATATCATAAGACGTTTCCGTTAATATACTACATTACACTCCAAGTTATAGGTTATATGGTTATTAATGCAGTTTTGATTGTGATCATTGTGATAATAAATAATTTTATATAAAGCAACTCCTTGAAGATGTTTATCATTGTTATTTTATTTAGGGTATATAAATTATTGTTCTGGTTGTGTGTCACTTCCTTTCTTGTAAGTCTGGCTTCAGGCTTATCTAACTCAGGAATCATGTATTGTTGACTGGTAGGTGATAACATAGATAAAATTAACTTTAGATAAAAAAAGAGTTATAGTTATACAGGGGATTATTATTTTCTGCTCTTCATAATTGGAGGAAATAAAAGAATCAGTCAACCTATACATTATAAATATGTAACACTGGGCAGAACTGACCAGTATTGTATATAGGATAGTATAGTTTGGATGTTTATAAAAAGACACATTAAGAAATAATAGTAAAACTGTTAATAGTTTATAGTTGTCTCAAGTTAAAACTGAAATGATCATAGGATCAATCTGGTGTGCATGTTTTTGTAAAAATGATTGACTGTGACATCTGAATGATTGACTGTGATTCTGTTATTTTAGAGATCTTTTTATAAATAATGCAAATGATTAAAGTAAATAAGTACTATAACAGGACAGTATTATTTCAGGAACATGTATAAAGACTTCATATTAAGATCTGGAACATTATAGTAAGACAGAGGGCATGATGGCTTTAAAAAGGAAATTTCTCTCATCGTAGTCGGTCACTCTTGAAGAACAGTAACAACCTTGATAGAGGAGGAAAAATCATCATATCAGTTATCATAATATGGCTCGTCCTATGAAAATGTATTCCACATATTCGGTATTTGTTGGACGTTTTCCTCCTGATACAAAGAAGGTAAGATTATGTATAGGATAGATCATGAGTACCAGTTGGATGTGATAAATCTCACATCCAACTGGTACGAGCGATCTATCTGACTTAGACCACAGGTAGTTTTCTCTGTTTAAGGTGAAGATTAAACATGCGTAAACGATTTTTTTCTCCGACAATTACATAGGGACATCCAAATATTTCTTATGCAATCTATTTGGCCTTATTGTAGGCAAAACAAAGCACGAGAAAATGGCATAATTCATGTTATTTCATAAGTTACTGAATACACAATCTTATGAATGATAGATTTCACATTCCATCACAAAGGTACAGTCAGAAGAAATTTGGGAAGAATTTAACATTTCTGAATGTGATATTATTACAACTTTGCAAGTTGAGATATTTTTGTTGTTATTCCTGTTAATTCTTCAATTAAATGATTAAATGACATAACACCGTTATTAATGCAGTTTTTGATTGTGATCATTGTGATAATAAATAATTTTATATAAAGCAACTCCTTGAAGATGTTTATCATTGTTATTTTATTTTAGGGTATATAAATTATTGTTCTGGTTGTGTGTCACTTCCTTTCTTGTATGTCTGGCTGCAGGCTTATCTAACTCAGGAATCAAATTAACTTTAGATAAAAAAAGAGTTATAGTTATACAGGGATTATTATTTTCTGCTCTTCATAATTGAAGGGAAATAAAAGAATCAGTCAAACCTATACATTATAAATATGTAACACTGGGCAGAACTGACCAGTATTGTATATAGGATAGTATAGTTTGATGTTTATAAAAAGACACATAAAGAAATAATAGTAAAACTGTTAAATAGTTTATAGTTGTCGCAAGTTAAAAATGAAATGATCATAGGATCAATCTGGTGTGCATGTTTTTGTGTAAAAATGATTGACTGTGACATCTGAATGATTGACTGTGACAGTGATTCTGTTACTTTAGAGATCTATTTAAAAATGATAATATGATAAAAGTAAATAAGTACTATAACAGGACAGTTTTATTTCAGGAACATGTATAAAGACTTCATATTAAGATCTGGAACATTATAGTTAGACAGAGGGCATGATGGCTTTAGAAAGGAAATTTCTCTCATCGTAGTCGGTCACTCTTGAAGAACAGTAACAACCTTGATAGAGGAGGAAAAATCATCATATCAGTTATCATAATATGGCTCGTCCTATGAAAATGTATTCCACATATTCGGTATTTGTTGGACGTTTTCCTCCTGATACAAAGAAGGTAAGATTATAGATTTGATTGCTGTTTATTTGTTAACTGGTGTAAAGATAATCGTTACCAATGATAACAGGGTTTTTTTCAAAGTCAGAAATTTGAAAGTCCCAGCTTCTAAGTACATGTGTACATGTAGATGTACTCTGAGAGGTGGGGAGGGGGAGTTAAATCCTTCAAGTTTGTCAACAACATTTCATTGTCAAAGAATTGATGTACTTGTATATAGACAATTGAAATTTTTCATGGCTTTAAATAGGAATTTGAAAATTATGGTGAAATTATTACTACAAAAGAGGAATATTCATGGAAACACGAATATATGCCTATTTGTATCAGTGTCTTACAATTTATTATAAAGCATAATGTATTTAAGTTATAACAATTTTACATGCTAAAAATCAGAAGTTGGTTGGCTTGATGATTTAAAAATATTTGCTTGCCAAATTTTTATGTAACAATGCATTATGTTGCATGGGTAAATACTGTGTAATCCTAAGCTGTTGAAGAAAACACTCTCAAATGATTTTAAATGGTTTTCATTTTCAGCATGAACTGCGTGATTTGTTTGAAGGATGTGGAGAGATTGTTGATGTTGTTATTTTAGATAACAGTAATGGTCAACCCTATGGGTAAGCTAGAAGTTAATTACTTTCAATAGGTATTTATGTTAAAATTTAAGCTAAATGTATTTGTGAATGAGTGTAGGTTTAATACTAAATCTATTGAACAAGTTTTATAATATTGTTTTATTCCAATCAAATTTATTTTTGAATCTACACAAATATAATATCTATTTATCATATTTTCACAATGAGCAAGTTCTACAGTTAAAAAGGGTCATTTGGAAAAAAAATATAGAGGTATTGTTACAGTCATGATGGTGTTGCCATCCCCAAAACATTACCATTGATCATAACCTTTTTAAGATCTCAATGTATTGTCTTTATACTTGGCCACGACAACCTTAAGGACAAGACCTTCAAGTAAGTCTGACTAAATTTAATTTATTTGTAAATGACCTTGACATTCAATGTCAAATGTCTAATTTTTGCTTGATTTTTTCAATGAAACTTGTCACATGAACTTGTCACATGAACTTACAGCATAAAATCCAACATTATAAACAAAAAGAGTTGAACACAAAAATTAAAAAGTTGTGCATATTGTCAGCATTTTCCGGTTCAATGACAATGATTTTTGTCAGAGTTATGGCCCTTTAATAATTTTTATGCCCCCATTTCGAAGAAAAGGGGGTATATTGCTTTGCACTTGTCGGTCCGTTGGTCCGTCGGTCCGTAGACCAAATGGTTTCCGAGTGATAACTAAAGAACCCTTAGGCCTAGAAACTTCAAACTTGGTATGGTGATTGGTCATGACCAGTAGATGACCCCTATTGATTTTGGGGTCAAGGGGTCAAAGGTCAAGGTCACATTGACCTTGTAAGCAAAAACGGTTTCCAATCAATAACTAAAGAACCTTAAGGCCTAGGAACTTCAAACTTGATATGGTGATTGGTCATGATCAGTAGATGACCCCTATTGATTTTGGGGTCAAGGGGTCAAAGGTCAAGGTCACATTGACCTTGTAAGCAAAAACGGTTTCCGATCAATAACTAAAGAACTTTAAGGCTTAGGAACTTCAAACTTGGTATGGTGATTGGTCATGATCAGTAGATGACCCCTATTGATTTTGGGGTCAAGGGGTCAAAGGTCAAGGTCACATTGACCTTGTAAGCAATAATGGTTTCCGATCAATAACTAAAGAACTTTAAGGCCTAGGAACTTCAAACTTGGTATGGTGATTGGTCATGATCAGTAGATGACCCCTATTGATTTTAGGGTCAAGGGGTCAAAGGTCAAGGTCACATTGACCTCATGGGTAAAAACGGTTTCTGATCAATAACAAAAGAACCCTTAGGCCTAGGAACTTCAAACTTGGTATAGTGATTGGGCATGACCAGCAGATAACCCCTATTGATTTTGGGGTTAATGGGTCAAAGGTCAAGGTCACATTGACCTTGTAGGTAAAAACGATTTCTGATCAATAACGAAAGAACCCTTAGGCCTAGGAACTTCAAACTTGGTATGGTGATTGGTCATGACCAGCAGATGACCCCTATTGATTTTGGGGTTAAGGGGTCAAAGGTCAAGGTCACATTGACTTTGTAGGTAAAAACGGTTTCCGATCAATAACTAAAGAACCCTTAGGCCTAGGAACTTCAAACTTGGTATGGTGATTGGTCATGACCAGCAGATGACCCCTATTGATTTTGGGGTTAAGGGGTCAAAGGTCAAGGTCACATTGACCTCTTAGGTAAAAACGGTTTCCGATCAATAACGAAAGAACCCTTAGGCCTAGGGACTTCAAACTTGATATGGTGATTGGTCATGATCAGTAGATGACCCTTATTGACTTTGGGGTCAAGGGGTCAAAGGTCAAGGTCGTATTGACCTCTTAGGTAAAAACGGTTTCCGATCAATAACTAAAGAACCCTTAGGCCTAGGAACTTCAAACTTGGTATGATTATTGGTCATGACCAGTAGATGACCCCTATTGATATTGTTGTTTAGGGGTCAAAGGGCAAGGTCACATTGACCTTGTAGGTAAAAATGCTTTCAAATCAATAACTTAAGAACCCTTTGGCCTAGGAACTTCAAACATGGTATGGTGATTGGTCATGACCAGCAGATGACCTATTGATTTTGGGGTCAAGGGGTCAAAGGTCAAGGTCACATTGACCTTGTATGTTAAAACAGTTTCCGATCAATTAACTAAAAACGCTTAGGCCTAGGAACTTCAAACTTTGTATGATGATTGGTCGTGACCAGCAGATGACCCCTATTGAGTTTTGGGTCAAGGGGTCAAAGGTTAAGGTCATGACCAGTTGATACTTGATAACCCTTATTAATTGTTTGATCACTGGGTCAGAAGTCATAATAACCTTATCACATGACTAATTGGCTGCTGATAGGGGGCATACATGTTTCACAAACATATCTTGTTATTTTTAAAGTTTGTCCGGACTACTTCTGTTATACCACTAATGCAATTTCAATGAAACTTTACAGGTCCTTGCGCATATTGCACGGGTTTTCCGGTTGAATGATTTTTGGCCGAGTTATGGCCCTTTGATAAAAAGGTGTTTTTTTCTGTGTGTTGCCATATACACAAAAGCTTGTCCGGACTACTCCTCATAAACTACTGGTGCAGTTATGGCCCTTTGATAAAAAGGTGTTTTTTTCTGTGTGCTGCCAGATACACAAAAGTTTGTCCGGACTACTCCTCATAAACTACTGGTGCAATTTTATCCAAACTTTACAGGAGTGATCAGTACCAAGTCTAGTTGTGCACTGTCCGTCTGTCACAAAACTTGTCCCAACATGAAATTGGCCATCGTGAGGCGACACATGTAATCACTGATCGCTCTTGTTTTGCTATAAATAGGTGTTATGTCTGTAGATGGTAAAAGATTTAATGTAACTATTTAGATAATTATATTCACAGATTTGTTCGGTTCACCAACAAGGATTCAGCTCTGTGTGCCGTCAGTGAACTCAATCTCTGGGTATTTAACGGGAGTAATATTATTGTGGCACTTGAGAAATCTACACAAGTTAAAATAGATAAAGGTATAGTTGTAACAGTGTGAGCTTGTTTATATATCAGTGTTGTTATATTTTATACAGGTTTGTGAGGTTTGTTGAGGCATCCTCTGCCATTAGGGCAGTCAGTGAAATGAATGGATGGGTAATGAATAACTCACAGTTAAATGTAGAAATGTCAAAAGTAACAGCAGAATTAATCAAGAAAGGTACATGAGGCAATAAAAATTTTTCTTGCATGTATATATGAGCCGTGCCACAACAAAACCAACATAATGCATTTGTGACCAGCATGGATCCAGACCAGCCTGCGCATCCGCACAGTCTGATCAGGATCCATGCTGTTCGCTTACGAACCGTATAACAAGTAGAGAAACTGATAGCGAACAGCATGGATCCTGATCAGACTGCGCGGATGCTGGTTTTGTCATGGCGCGGCTCATATATTGTTCCCATTCTGTTTTATTTCCATTTCTGTGTGACACAGGACAGAATATTAGTGAGTAATGCATGCAAAGTATCTTTAAGTTCAAGTTAATCTACAGTATAATCCCATTTTCATTATCAAACTTAAAGGGACTTCACTGAGGTTTTTTGTTTAACCTTCTTTCGGGGAACTCAACATAGTTGTAGTCTGTCCGGATTATGCTTGTCCGGGTCGTTACTCTGTCATTACAAAGCAGAATTTTGAATAACTTTGCACAGATGATCACAATAATGAGACGGCTTGCCGTGGACAAGAACCATGTGGCTAGGTCAAAGTTTAAGGTCATACTTCAAAGGCAAAAATTGGTCTCAAACAGCCTGTCACACCATAACTCTATCACTAGCTGTTGGAAGTTCAAATAACCAGGCACAAATGTTCATGTTTTGGATGATCACCAAATTTTATGTAGCATTCTTAGGTAGTCTTTTATCAAGTTTGCTCGTATTAATTTGATTGGCCCCTTTTATGGGCCGCTAAAGCTAAAAATAGAAAAAACTTTTGAACATCATTTCCTACTGAAATAATTGATGGATGATCACCAAACTTTGTTTGTAGCATTTGTATGTAGTCTTTTATCAAGTTTGTTCATATTAATTTGATTGGCCCCTTTAATTTGATTGGCCATTGAAGCTAAAAATAGAAAAAAACCTTTTAACGTCTGCTTCTACAGAACTAATTGATGAATGGTCTGCAGCATTCTTAGGTAGTCTTTAATCTTTTACTGAAAAGCAGTTGTTTCTGGTGAGTGGCTCAGGGCCATCATGGCCCTCTTGTTTCATCATTTGATGTAGGTCGGGGCCAATAACGTATGCAAATTTTCAGATCATTCCCTCATCCTGTTGTTCTAGAATAATCTTTATTTAAGTTACAGAATGACCAAAAAATAAAAAAAAAGAATAATCTTGATTATAGTACAGAATGACAAAAAAATACAGATTTTTCTATTAAGTGCTGCACTTGATTTATGTAGTAATTTCAAATTTTATGTTTTTACGCTACTTGACCTCAGAGTGGAGCTCCTTAAAGTTTGAAGTGGCAGTGTCCTAGTCATGTCACTTATGTTTGTAGGGTATCAGAGGAAGGAAAAAATGGCTTTTTTTTAAAATATGTGTTATTTTTGTAAAGTTTTCCATTTTGTAAAGTGAACAAGTTAATCCTGTGTCACACTGACAATGATTTTTGTTAAAATTACCCAGTTTGCTTTGTTACTAAATAACAACTGGTTTTTGTTTGTTCTGTTTAAATTTATGTTGCTTCTGTTATGTTTGTTTTGTTTATTTTTATGTTGCTTCTGTTATTGCTTATTTATAGCATTTTATCTTTTCATAAGTCAGATATGCTTAATTTAGTTTATGAAGATTTTTTTAATTTTTTGGATGTCTCATCCTAGGCTGTGATTAACTACAGCTTTGTCTGACTCTGGCTGTAATTTTCTTTTCCTGAAAGTAAGTTATCTTACTATAGTAATTAATTAAAACCCAGGGAAATTGCAATCTAATTATCTATCATCATTTAATATGATTTAAATGTAATTGAAGTTAAATTATTATTATTGATTAAAGGACTTTTATTCTAAATGAATTTCATAGAACCATGGTCTAAGAAAACAATATTTGAATTTCAGGGTTTAAACTCCATACAAATGTTCTCTGTGACTATCTAACATCATGGGCATAGGTACCATAACTCTGAATTACATTTTTACAGAGTTATGCCCCTGTCAAGCCCTGAAAAAAGTAGCTCTTGTTTTGAATTATCAAATAAGACTTTGTCTTTGAAATAACCTTATAAAGGTCAAATTATTTGATTTTGCTATCTATGTTATTAATTTAGAGATCTGAATTATACTTCGGCAAAATAACAATTATGGCAATATCTGCATGCTAGATATTTCAATGTTAGACCTTTGTTTAAGTTGTGATAACTTTGTTATTTATTTCGAGATTTGATTCATGCTTAGATATATTAATGCTTATGACACAAGGAAGTGTTGAATAATTCAAATAAGACCTTTACTTTAAAATGATCTTGATCATCAAGGTCAAATGATTGATTTTACCTTAATTGTTAAAGTTTTAACCTGTTTTTAGCTCACCTGTCACAAAGTGACAGGGTGAGCTTTTGTGATCGCTTTTCGTCCGGCGTCCGTAAACTTTTGCTTTAAATGACATCTCCTCATAAACCACAAGGCCAATTTCATCCAAACTTCACAGGAATGTTCCTTTGGTGGTCACCTATAAAAATTGTTCAAAGAATTTAATTCCATGCAGAACTCTGGTTGCCATGGCAACCGAAAAAAAACAAACTTTAAATATCTTCTTTTAAAAAACCATAAGAGCTAGAGCTTAGATATTTGGCATGAAGTGTCTACCAAGTTTGTTCAAATAAAAGCCCTGGGGTCAAAATTGGCCCCGCCCTGGGGGGTCATTGATTTTCCCTATATGCATATAGTAAAAACTTAAAAAATCTTCTTTTAAAGAACTCAAAGAGCTATGGCTAAGATATTGAGCATCAAACATGTTCTAATAGGTATCTACCAAGTTTGTTCAAATAAAAGCCCTGGGGTCAAAATTGGCCCCGCCCCAGGGGGTCATTGATTTTCCCTATATGCATATAGTAAAAACTTAAAAAATCTTCTTTTAAAGAACTCAAAGAGTTAGAGCTAAGATATTTAGCATGAAACATGTTCTAATAAGTGTCTACCTAGCTTGTTCAAATAAAAGCCCTGGGGTCAAAATTGACCCCGCCCCAGGGGGTCATTGATTTTCCCTATATATGCATATAGTAAAAATTTAAAAAATCTTCTTTTAAAGAACTCAAAGAGCTATGGTTAAGATATTTAGCATCAAACATGTTCTAATAGGTGTCTACCAAGTTTGTTCAAATAAAAGCCCTGGGGTCAAAATTGGCCCTGCCCCGGGGGTCATTGATTTTCCTTATATGTGTATAGCAAAAACTTAAAAAATCTTTTTTGAAAAAACCCAAATAGCTAGAGTTAAGATATTAAGCATGAAACATCTTTTAGTGAGTGTCTACAAAGTTTGTTCAAATAAAAAATCTGGGGTCAAAATTGGCCCCGCCCCGGGGTCATTGATTTTCCTTATATGTGTATAGCAAAAACTTAAAATCTTCTTTGAAAAAACCCAAATAGCTAGAGTTTAGATATTAAGCATGAAACATATTCTAGTAAGTGTCTACAAAGTTTGTTCAAATAAGAACCCTGGGGTCATAACTGGCCTGGCCCCAAGGGTGTCATTGTTTTTAACTATATGTGTATAGTAAAAACTTAAAAAAAATCTTTTAAATAGCCCAATGAGCTAGAGCTTAGATGTTTAGCATGAAACATCTTCTTATGGGTGTCTACCAAGTTTGTGCAAATAAAAGCCCTTTGGTTAAAATTGGCCCTGCAACGTTGGGGGGGGGGGGGGGGGGGGGGGGCCTATATACAGGTGAGCGACCTCAGGGCCATCATGGCCCTCTTGTTTACAGATTCGATTCATACTTTGACTAAAAACACTTATTCAAAACTGATATGTTGAATTCTTCTTTGTATGGCCTTGACTTCAAAGTGAATATTTTTTAACTTGCCAAAACTTTGTTATTAATTAAAATGGACAGATTTGATTAATACTTGGACAAAGCAACATATATTTGACAACACTAACAATCATGTTCAATAGCAGGGTTCGAAAATTCCACTCGTCTGCTCGTATTTACGATTAGACATTGGTGCAGGACAGGTACAAAACAGTTATATGCTCGTCCGGCAGGACGAGTGGAAATTTGTCAATGTAATAGAAAGTTATAATTCTTAAAATCAGTATGTTTACATTAAACAATGGAAAACCGGACACAAAGCTTGTGTTTTAGGTTATGTACAATTTGCGCACTTTATAAAGCTCTGAGCACATTGTTAATTGGATACGAAGCGCGCGATTTATACGTAATCTAAAACAAAAGCTTTGTGAAATTTATGTAAAGAATTTGATTATGAGAACTTTTAGTGGTCTTTTGCATTGGAGAGTTTCTATTGCATCGGTGTAGTTTATCTTGAAAATCAAGGCAAAAAATGCAGGACAAGTAGCAAAGCAAGCAGGACGAGTACAAATTTGAAGCCACTAGATCCCTGAATAGTTAACAAATCAGTTTGATATTTATAATTATTCCTTTTACAAGAAAATTGTATGATTTTTTCAGAATCCTTCACAACGTTTTTCTTCCATAATTGATGTGTTTTATTTTAGAAATCAGAAAAAAGAAAGCATGGCCTTGTTTTCCCAGCTGGGGGTTCTTGTTATATTGAAATATTTGTAAAATTTGGGCTTCTTTATTTCTGTTTTGCATAAAAGAAAAGGAAGGACTGCTAGTAACAGATGGTTGCGGTCCAAGAAAGAAGAACGATTTGAGAAATCAGGGCAGGTCTAGAGGAACAGACTTTATTACAGATACCATGAACTGGGCCAGGTTACAGGAAAGTGTAACTGCAGTAAACCTTAAGCATTCCAACAGTAAGTATACAAGAATTAACAATTATATATATGTAAGAGTGGATTTACATTTGTTAATTTGTTTTTTCATATGCCCAAAACAATTTCAGTGTATAATATTATGCACCTGGTTGTCTGTTCTTCTGTCTGTTGCCAGTTTTCGTGTCTGGTCAGTAGTTTTTGGTTCTACCACTTGGCAGAAATGTAAAGCTTAATAAGCCAATGTGCAGAGTGCATGTTATGAAGGTCATTGTCACAGTCATTTTGTATCAATTTCAAAATTTTGTGTCCATTCTGCATCTTTTGAATTTGAACTGATAGAAAGAAAAAGTTTTTTTTGCAAAAACTACAAGGCCTAGAGTTTAGAATGTAGCATTGCCTTGTGAACCTCTGCATAACTGTTATAAATCATGCCCCTGGGGTCAATATTGGCCTGCTCTGGGAACACTTGACTTTTTATGCTCCCCGAAAAATTTCAGGGGAGCATATAGTCGTCGGGTTGTCCATCCGTCCGTCCGTCCGTCAGTCCGTCCGTATGTATGTCCCGAATTCGTGTCCGGCCCATAACTTTGTTATTTGAAGTCAGATTTTAAAACTATTTCTGTAAAATGATCACCATATTGAGACAACGTGTTGCGCGCAACATTTGGGTCGCTACCGTGAAGGTCAAGGTCACAGCATGACCTTGCAGCAAAATTGTGTCCGGCCCATTACTTTGTTATTTGAAGTGGGATTTTAAAACCTTTTCACAGAAATGATCACCATATTGAGACGACCTGTCGCGCGCAACATTTGGGTCGCTACCTTGAAGGTCAAGGTCACAGCATGACCTTGCAGCAAAATCGTGTCCTGTCCATAACTTTGTTATTTGAAGTCTGATTTTACAACTATTTCACAAAAATGATCACCATATTGAGACAATGTGTTGTGTACAATATTTGGGTTGTTTTTACACTTTGAACTTTGTCTGTGACATAACTCTGATAAACAAGAGATATACCTTCCTGTGTCCAAAACCTATTCGGGGAGCATCACCCGTTCAACCGGCTCTTGTTTTAAACTTATATAGGAAAACACATTTAAGTCATATTGTTTATAACTACAAAGCCTCAAGTTTAGATATTTAACATGTAGCATCAATTTGTAGATTTCTACAAAGTTATATTAAAATAATCTTAATACCAAAGTCAAAATTGGCCCTGCCCGGGAGTCACCTGCTTTATGTAGACTAATGTATAGGAAAACACAATCATCTTCTCTTTATGTGGATAAATACTAATCTATATTTGGCATGTAGCATTGCCTCTATGATGTTTTATGAATCATGCACTAACGGCAAAATGTGCCTTCAACTTGGATGTCATAGAGTATCATGAAGATAATTAAGAATAAAACATTTTTCACACAAGTTTCTTGATTTTCTACCCTAATTGAAAGATTAGTTTTGATTACTCATAGAGAATAACATGCTACTGTCTTTTGATATCAATTTTATCAGGCGAGGCTGATATGAGCTAGAAAGGGCGAGGCTTGTTCAAAGAAATAATTCTTGAAAACAAATTCCTCCGCCCCTGAAACTTAAAATTTGTAAACGGCGGCCATTTTTTCTTTCGACTCAAGATTATTTCCTGTGATAAAAGATACAACATAATGTAACACGATAAGATTCTTACCTTTAAACTTCGATGAAAAGAAATTCCCTAAGAATTACATAAACTTTACTTGAATTGTTTAGTTCAAAAGTTCATGATAATTTCAATCAAACAAAAGTCAAATCGGCAACAAACACAAGCTACACAAACATGCGTCTTATTTTTTGAACGGAACACTTATTAAATAATAATCCGGCGGAATAAAGTAAACATTTACAAGTTCTCAAAGAAAATTGACTAGCCTGTTTGTTATGTTTACATGTATAGTATGATGTGGACATCGATGATGTCATTTGCAATATAAATTATGACGTAACTTCATTGAGTTGGTGCTTAACTATTCGCTATCTAATTTATTCGTAATTGAAATCGAAATAAGAAATAAATAAAAATCGCATATTGATTCAAGACTTGTAAGGGTATGAGATTACATTGTCGAATTCACATGCTGATGATTTCAAATGAGAATACCTGTATAAGCAATTGAAAAAAGTCTGTTAAAATGGGCGGGGCATATTTTTGATATCAGGTTACTGACCTGATATCAAAAATATTTATCAGGCAAGTGTTATTGGGCAGTTACCGTAGCAGTAGCATGATAAAAACCAATATACATCCGGGTATATATACCCCACCCATGCAGTGCTCTTGTTGAAGAAAAGTAGTGTTATCTTAATCAACCGAGGTGTACAGTTTTTATGCAACTTTGTACTCATCATACACTAAAGCTATTTGCTTGTTAATTCTCACACATAATAGATCACTTTCCAAGGGCCATAACTCTAACATAGGTTTTGACTGAGTTGTGGCCATTTGTGAATTATTAGGTTAATTGCTTACTTTATGACGGACTTTCAATTAACCTTCAACCCTTGAAAATCTTAGAAATCTTATTTATAACAATTATGCATTGCATTTTAATGTCCATTTATCTTTGACAGTAACCTTTCAGTGAAAAAAAATTATTCTTTGTATATTTTCCCTAAGTGTGCCATTTGACATTCACAGATTCAATTATTGTTAGATTTGAAATGTTATTGTGACACCTGTTGTTTTCCTATTTTCAGACAATCATTTGTCAATGAAGAAACTGAGTGAAGACATTGATAGGGTAAAAGATAACAGATGTACAAGACTATGGGGTAGTGTTGATGATGCCTCAACAAACTTCTCCCAGATTTCAAGCAAAATCATGCAACGGTACACATGTATATTATAAAGAAACCTTCCTTTTTGACAGTGTATCATGTATAAAGCACCGGTTTTGTTTCTGATTTATCATAGTGTTTATCTTTGTTCAAGATGGCTGCAAAAATTTGATTTAGATTTTGGTTCAATTGTTGTAACTTTGTTATTATTAATAGACTGATTTTGATCTGTGAATTGGCAAAACAACATGTGCCACAAAATAAACATGTTGAATAACTCATCATACATATAAATGGCTCATCATCATCAGTCTGCGAAATAACATTTTCGATCATAGGCCATTTGGGCCTTCAACCCAGGCAGAAGTATAGGCCCGGACAGAATATCACAGGCTCAAAACATTTATTGTGCAAAATAAATACAACAGTTTATTTTATCTTTTATTGACATCATTAAGGTTCAATTTATTCACGGATAATCAGTCAGCCACTTTTCAATAAAATTCTCAATTTCTGTTTTTATATATACTCAACATTACTCGTCAATCTACGACTTTCCATTTTATTTGTTTAAAATATAAAAACAAATATCAACAAAGGAAGCATTGCATTCAATGAACATATCCCCTAATTAAGCACAACCAATCACTGGTTTCACTTCAAATGTTTAAATTAGCCGATCACAAATCTAAATGGGTCAATCTAAAAATAAATTTATTCTTCAACAGAAATTTACCATAACTTAATCTTGCAAACATTTATGATTATACTAGAGCATTGTCTGTATATTTACACTAACCAATAGCTGTAGATGATAATACATATTATGCATAAACGATTGACATACAGGCATTACGCAAATCTTATTGGAAGTACATATTCTGATGAAGAAGTACACAATTATTTCGGAAAAATATTGAAACTAATTTTATATGAAGACACATTCTGAATTCAAAGGCCAATCGGGCTTACAATCTTTGGATTTTTGCAGGCCCTCATTGGATTTTACCAGCCTCGGGCATCGGGCCTGTGCCTTATTTTGCAGACTGCATCATTATAGTCAAATATGAATTTTCATTTTTAATTCTGTACCACTAACAATGATGTCTGTAAAAAGGTTGCACTGCAATATGCTTCCTTCTTCCAATTAATTGTTACAAGCTGTTTCATAATCATGAGGGATCTAGTGGTATTTAATGTTAAACTATTTTTAGGTGCCAAGCTCAAGGGGAAAAAGAACGGGGAAAGAAAAATTGTGCCGAGTTCATGTCTGCTTTAAGGACAATAATGAAAGAAATTGAGGCAGTATTAGGTCAGAAAGATGATAGCAATGTTGAGGAAATAGATGATAAAGAATTGGAGGAAATTAATCAACTAGTATTAGAGGGAAAACTTGTAAGGGAGGTAAATGAAGAACTAGAAAAAGAAGGTGAAATAATGAAAAGTGAATGTGATGTTTTTGGGAGACACACAAATGAGACAGATAGGATTGTGCCAAAGAAAAGATTGAGTGATGCAAGTGTACAGACTGTGACTTTAGAAGAAGAGTATCACATTGATGTGCCTGACTGTTTATCTGATAGGGAGATTACACAATCTCCTCGTGACAGATTTGATGACTTCGATCCAGCAATAATTGACTTCCATTTATCTCCAAGAAATGAGATTAAAAAGAAAGAAAAGAGAAGAGAGGCAGAAGTAAACAGATCTAGAGCCACAGATAAAGCTGATATTGTTCAAGAGCTGTATTCAAAGATGAACTTAAGTAATGGGGTTGTTGTTGACAACAACTTTGAAAGATCTGTCTCTAGAGATTCTAGCATATCAGATGATGGTGTTATAGATGATTCTGGTGTAGAGTCTGATTGTTTTGGTGGAGCGAAGGGTCGGAGGTCACTCGGTATTCTTGATAGTATGTTAGGAGAGAACGGCCATTATGTAGATAATGATTCTACCAACATGCGACGGCTACATGGTTCTGCCTCAGAACCAAGCCTGAGACAACCTGATCATCACCAGTATCTCTTGAAAAGTAAGTATAAATTTTTCTCTTTGCTTTTCAATGATATAGTGACTTAAATATGTTATGGAATGCTCTCAGTTTGTGTATCAAATCAGAGCAGTTAAGATATATTGAGTTATTTCGAGGTGAAAATAATTTATCAAGACTTGGTACCATACTTGTGGAGGAAAACCTGAGGTGCACCTGAATGCATTGTTTCATGTAAAATTGAGCACCAGAGTAGAACCATGGATGCACTGTAAGCTAGTTGAAGAGCATCCTCAGATGAAGTATATGAAGGATTCGAATCGCACAGCAATGAGGGGCAAGTGGATTGAAGTCAAGGACCTTGACCACTCAACCAGGGATGCCCCTTCTCAAGTGTGATAGTCAAAGTTTAAGGGATTTCAATATCAGCAATGTGCATACATGCCAGGCTTGGGGTAATGATACTGGTAATGGTAATGCAGTAGGAATACATTACTTTTCCTGAGAGTAATGCAATGTAATTATACTGCATGCCAATTTGCATTACTTGTAATGGTTCTGGAATGCAAAATTCAGGTAATGAAGGTGCATTACTAAGCATTACTTTGTATTTCTTTGTATTACTTCACCAAACCTACTACATCGTATATGGTATGGAAGATCCAAAGAACACAAGATAAAATTATGATGGCCTTAATCAGTCAAATAAAATATAAAATCATTAAAATTCAATGTCCCCTCTCACTTATATATCTGCATTGATTTATAACATTAGTATGAATTGAAGCATTTATTCTACATGCAGGCATGTACATTGTTCAGTGCAGAATGGGGATTAAATGATGGTATTTTATACACCTTTATGAAAAGCCTGCTATCAACCATAACCCTTTATGCAAGATAGAATTACTATTTGGCACTTGCCTTTGTTTGACCATTGGGCACATTAGCACCTTTTTGGAGTTTTCATTGTTACATTATGTTGACATGTCTGCCATGTGCCAGACTAATTATCACGAAATGCAAAGTCAACCATTACTGACTTAAAATACAAATTTATGTAAATTCAGTTTTTTTGCATTTTTTATTTAAAGGTAAAACACAGAGATGGATATTTAGAAATTTAATAATATATGTATACAAATAGATACATGATTAGTTTGATTTTTTGTAAATGTAAGCTACAAAACATCTTAGAAAGAAATTGTCTTTTGCTCAAAAGAAATGTTAATGATACTGTATTACTTGGTCCAAGTAATGGTAATGTACTGCATTACTTGCCGAAAATCAAGTAATGCCCCCCCCCCCGGACGAAAGCCCCCCTTCTAAAAATGACAAGGTGGACAAAAGCCCCCCCCCATGAAATTTCCACATAGGACAAAAGCCGCCCCATAGAAAAGTAAAGATAGGACAAAAGCCCCCCCATGGTCCATCAAATTTACATATAGTGTATACCTTATGTGCAATTAATGACTGTATTTTGTAGTATTTATCACCATATTTCTACTGCGTTACTAACGCAGTAAGTGCTATTTATGCATATTTTGACCTCTTTTTGGTAATTTACGTGGATTTTAAGTGCCGATTGTAATGTGTCGAGTAATTTCTTTGTTCATTTCACAATATTTTACCTTTAATTTTCAAAATTTTCATGAAAATTAGGATAAATCTGGAGGCGTGCTGCTTTATTGTTTATTAATAATGTATATATTGAAGTGATAACAAAGTATGATAACAGATGAAATAATGCATGCATGTGATACTGAATTCATAGCTTTTCATAATTATACACAACAAGCGTCAGAAGAGTAGTAATGTTTAATCACTTTTGTAAAGGGATCAAATTAATATCCTTAACACTCAAAAAAGGGAACAAATCTGATACAAATAACTATCGTCCTATTTCGATTCTCCCTGTTCTTTCCAAAGTACTAGAAAAACATGTCAGTAATCACCTTAAAAATTTTCTTGAAACACATTCGTTATTGCATAAGACTCAATCAGGTTTCCGCTCACATCATTCATGTGAAACAGCATTAACATCTATCATTGACACTTGGATTTCTGCAATCAATGACAACAAACTAGTAGGCACTGTTTTTCTTGATCTAACTAAGGCATTTGATTTACTTAATCATTCCCTTTTAATTCAAAAGATGACACAATATCAGTTTGCAGGGGAAACACTTAACTGGTTTAAATCTTATCTCTCAAACAGAACACAACAGGTCTCAATCTCTGGCAAATTATCAAGTGCTAAAGAAATATCATCTGGAGTCCCTCAGGGTTCTATACTTGGCCCCGCTCTATTCATTCTATATATAAATGACTTGCCTTTAAACCTTCCAAATACATCTACTGACATGTTTGCAGATGATACAACTGTCACCTCATTTGGATCGTCTATTGACTCAGTCTACAGATCGCTACAAAATAGCATTGACATCATCTACGACTGGTGTGCAAGAAACTCTATGCTACCAAATCCTCAAAAAACAAAAGCAATGATAATCTCCCCATCAAATATCATTTACAACACCATCAAATCAAGCAATGATTACATTTTGAAAATGCAGGAAAATGACATTGAATTTACTAACTCTGAAAAATTGCTGGGAATTCACGTGGATCATAGATTATCATGGAACTGTCAAATTGAACAGCTGATTAAAAAATGCAACTCATTACTTTATCTTCTCCTCCGTATCAAACAGTACCTTAACAAACAAATGAGAATAGTTTTTTATAATGCATACATATTACCACACCTTGATTACTGCTGCACTATTTGGGGAAATTGTAATGATGAATTACTGAACAGCATATACAAATTTCAAAAGAGAGCCGCCCGTATTATACTTGACAAAGACATTGATACACCTTCAGAAATATTGTTTCATGAATTGAATTGGTTAAAAATACATGACCGCATCCATTATAAAAAAGCAATTCTTGTTTACAAATCCATTAACAATCTATTGCCACATTATATGTCTGATTTATTTTCACATACAAATCACACAACTCTGAGATCAAACACTCAACAGACACTACATATACCAAAACCTAGATTAGAATTTTGCAGAAAAGCTCTTGCTTACTCTGGGCCTAAAATCTGGAACAAAATACCATTACATATCAGGCAATCAAACAGTCTTCCACTATTCAAAAAGTCATATTTAACATGGTGGTTCTCTGGTGGAAACCTCTGCTTAGATGCTATACATGTATAAATATTTGTTGTTATATTGGTTGAATATTTTTGTTAATATGTATGTAAATTTTCAATTTTGTTACCATCCAATTCAATGTTGAATGTATGTATATAATATCAACTCATTTTTTTTTTTTTTTTTTTTTTTTTCTTCTTCTTCTTTTTTCAAGGTTGATCTAAAGTATGTCAGTGTTGATGTATAATAATGAAATCTACTTGTGTTATTATTTAATCTTTTATTGATGTATTATATTTTGTAAATTGTTTTGTATATTGTTGAGGCCCATAGGGAAGACTGGGCTTGCCCAACTGTGTTGCCTCATTAAATAAAGTCGTTACTTACTTACTTACTTAGTTACACTATGTCACCTACATTTGATGTCCATACATATTTTTTATACCAATAAAAAACACAACTCTAATACATGCATGCTTAAAAAGATTACAAACATGAAGATGAAGAGCACATGGATGAAATAAAGCACACTTTACTGATAAATTATTCTCACAGTCTCTGCTACAGTTCAGTTTCAGAAAATGTTCACATTTAGTTGAGTCTGATAAATTGTGACATGGCATACAGAAATTGTGCCATATGTCTTCTCACCCATTAATTCATTTACACTAAATTTAAATTTAATGGACAATGGGGGGGGGGGGGCTTTTGTCCTACCTTTACTTTTATGGGGGGGGGGGCTTTTGTCCTATTTGGAAATTTCATGGGGGGAGGGGGGCTTTTGTCCACCTTGTCATTTTTAGAAGGGGGGCTTTCGTCCGGGGGGGCTTTTGTCCTACACTCATAATGGTTCAAGCAAGTTAACAAATTCCTATCCAGAGCTGTATTGTATAATAGTCATTTATATACCATGGGCATTTTTAATATGATTAATGTTTACTTTATGGAGTTAAATTGTCTTTATTATACTTTAGGAAAAATTTATTTCAACCACAGATCAATGGTAAGAATAATACTAAGATAGAAATACCCCAAAAAATTGATAAATCAGTTGATAAATCTTTTTTCATAAAAAGAATGGTATGTCCATCTTGTAGGGAATATACATTTCTTGTAGGCATATAAATGAGTAAGGCAGGTTATCTTGTTTTGTATACAGTGAATTGGTTAATTTTTAAATAAAATCGAATTTAATGCATTTTCAATTTGTTGGAAAATTTGTCTATTCTTCAATATTGCAGGTAGAGGTAGAGGCAATGGTTCTCAACTTCTCAATGGACAAACATCTATTCCAGCTTTAGGGAGAGGAATGTTGGCAAATCTTACAAGCCTGAAACATCCTGTTGGTAGAGGACATCATAGCTAGAGTTGTGCACATATTATTTTATCCTATATTTTTATTCTTGGCTCATATGGTCAATCAGACAAGACCACATGATTGATAGTTCATTACACACCACATGATTGATAGTTTATTACATACCACATAATTGATAGTTCATTACTTACCACGGCAGAAATCAATACAAAACATTATTATAGAATGAAACTATCATACTCTGTTATGTTATGCTTGTAAAATTTACCAGTCATTTTGGGACATCTAGAACTTAAGTGTTCATTATATAAGTCTTATTCAGTGTTTGAATTGTATACAAACATATGAGCCGCGTCACGACAAAACCAACATAATGGGTTTGCGACCAGCATGGATCCAGACCAGCCTGCGCTTACGCGCAGTCTGATCAGGATCCATGCTGTTCGCTATCAGTTTCTCTACTTGTTATAGAGTTTGTAAGCGAACAGCATGGATCTTGATCAGACTGCGCGGATGCGCAGGCTGGTCTGGATCCATGCTGGTCGCAAACACCTTATGTTGGTTTTGTCATGACACGGCTCATATGATCTCAGCCTTTAACTTGTGAACACCAGCTGTGAGAATTATTAACTCGCAGGAACTGAAAATAATTTGCTGTGTTCACCAATATAGGGCCAGGCCAGTCTTCATAGCAGCTCAACTTGTGTATTTTGATATTAGAATCTCTTAAAGATATACTATGCTCATCTTTGAGTGATATTATTGCAGAAATTTATTGAAATCTATATAATTCTTACTGAGTATGTTTTATTTAAATAAAAGAATGTACAAAATATGTATGGGAATCTGCTTTACATTTTAAGGGTCAAGTAAAACTAGTCCTTTCTTAAAAAAACTGCCAGTTTTTTTGTGACACTATGTATTCATAGTGTGTCCACTTATAGTGTGTAGGATTTAAAGCATAACATATCTACTTTGTGTGAAGTCAAAACATGTTATTTTATATTTACAAAGAGACCGTGAAGCAATTATCAATATTTTCAAATATCACATTTGAGCATAGTATATCCTTAAAAGTTAAATGGATTGTTTCACATTGTAAAACTAATTATTTGTTTTATTCAATTAGTCCATCAGGTTTATTTTCTTGCCAGCATTTAATATAAAATATAAATATACAAATGTAAAACAAAAGTCATATTTTCCAAAAATTATTTTAGTCTAGATAAGTTGGCATTATATTTTCATTATTTTGATAATCAACAAATTGTGTTAATTATACATCTATTTCATTATTTTTAAATTGTAACATAAAGCAATTAATAGTGCTTTATCATGACGACTTCTTTATGTCTCTTGTAATAAGTTTAATAATGTATTTTTGCCATACAGTTATATACATGTACATGTATTGTGAGGTTATTTTACATTGTTGAATACAATATTGTACTCTACTGGACAAGTTCACAGCTGTTAAAACTATATAGGACAAGACGCTAGCCAAGTGGGATATGGATTTTGAAGCTATGTATGAGTCCAGTAGAAACAGTATTGTTCTCAGCAATGTTTAATGACCTCTTTATTTTACACCAACATTCTTGACATAACTTTTTCACTTGGTTAAAATATGAACTTGATATGGATTTTGGAGTATTAAAATTAAACAAGGTTAGATAGAGTATGATATGCATTTGATAAAGATATTTTGGACTCTGAAAATGATATGGATTTTTTGGATTCTAGAAATGAAAACGAGGCTGACTTGCTAAGATGAGATCCAGTAATGATTTCTATGTAAAATGTTGAAAGTACATTGGTCACATTTTTTAAGGTGTGAAAAAATATAATATTTTATATGTAAAATCATCTGAACAAATGTCTTCCATACACATTTGTAACTAACTTCATCATATAGTCATTTGTCTTATTCTAGCACTAAACCAAATCTACCTCGGGGTTAATATTTCATCATATAAAACATTTTTTACCATCATTTTAGCTTTGTAAAACTTTGTAAACTTTGTAAAAAATTTAGCTATGTTCACTATTTTGATTGGTATTAATAGAGGGTAATTCTTTGTAGACATAATAGGGCATTTATTTAGATATAATAGAGGGCATTTATTGCGGGGCTTTTAGAAACTCTATAAACATTGATATAGAACATTATTCTCTTGTTTAAATTGTTCAATATTGTTGATTATATACATGCATATGATCTCAGAAAACTGCCATTGTACACACATTTTGTCTGTAGCTTCTTATCACCTTCTTATTCCAGAGTTTGTGTAGTATACTTGTTCCATCTTTATTTTAGATATTCTCTATATATACATGTAGTACACTATGAAAAAAGTACACTTTAATATCAAAGTTTTGATTTTTGCAGCTGTTGGTATATTTGTAGATTTTCTTGCCTTTAAACTTGTATAGCTTATATATATTGACACATTTTATACAGGAACTTAATAGATGAGGCATTATAATTGGTTGTGTTAATTAGGAAAAGCATTTGTTGGCTTACTTTAACCTCAGATACAGGTTGAACTATTAGTGTAACATATAATTTTCTTTTTACTTATTGTATCTTGATATTAGTATGGCAGGGGAATGCTTTACTGTTTGTTACCTGTCATCTTTCTTCTTCAACATTCTCCTTTGAAACTACAAGTCAGATTTATAATAAACTGGTGTTTTGGAGTATGTATAAAAACATGCTCTGCACAAACTGCTGAAAACCCCATACCATTTGTGTTGTCGTTGATGGTTTATACAGTGCCCGTTTTATACATACACCAAAAATGTTTGATTTCCAGTTTTCATGACTGAAATTAATACTTTAAATAAAATCATTTAAGTCGTCTTTTACATGCCTAGAGGAGGATGAGAAGTGAAGCATGTAGAACAAGGAGATGTTTACAATCATCATGTCAGTTTTAAATGGTTCTACTTAGCTAAAGTATTAAGCATTATATTAAGTATCAAAGTGAATTTATATACATATAGCCTGATTTATTTTTGGTTCGCCTTAGGTTATTCCGGTGAGTGATACAGGGCCATGATGGCCTTGTTTTTGTTAGATATGAAGTTTCTACACTATGATGTGCATATTTTATTGTTAAAGATTGAATGATACAAGATAATAATTATACAATATAGTACAGATACAATTGTCTTAATTTACAAATTGCTTGGTCTGTTATAGAGGATGCAGAATATTTGAATGTCATTTCCGTTACTTAGATATTCTGTCTAAATTTACTGAAGTGGCAGATTCATTGTTAGTCACTAGAATACACTCTTTATTTTCTTGTTATTTTAGCTCACCCAGGTGGTGTCATCATCACACTTTGCTTAAATTTTTGCTTGCAAGTTTAGTGTCTTCATAAATTTTTGCTTGCAAGTTAGTGTCTTCAAACTACAAAAGGGAATGCATTGAAACTTCACACACTTATTTTAGAGCATATTACAAGGTCACTGATTAAGACTTTAACATGAATTTTGACAGAATAATGGCCATTTTGAACTTAGAAAAATTAAACAGTGTCATGGTTCTTGTTATGCTATCAAGCACGGAGAATAGTCAAGCACACTGACTTACTGATAGCTCTTGTTTTGTTCTGTATCGCATTTCTATCGAATCTTTTTGTCAGGAACTTGCCTTTGTACTTGTCTAAAATGGCATTTATAGCCTTTATCTGTAACTTTTGGTTCAGCTAAAGGGGTAATGTTTATTATATATTTGTAAATATTGTTCACTTTTTCTTTTTTACTGGCCTTTTTTTGTTAATTTTTTCATTATTTTTTCTTTCATTATTTTTTCAAAGAGCGCCTTTGATTAGCTCCATTGTATCCTTACTTTGGTTATTTTATGTGTACATAGGTTAAGAATGGATGTCTTATTCCTGTTACATATGTTGCCATAATAATATTTGTATTAAATCTCGATTTATCTTGCATATGGTATATCAAAGTTAAATGTTTTACCATGTTCTAAGGCCATCCTTAAAAAAATGTTTGTTTGCAGTAACCCGACCCAGAATTTTCAAGGTGGGTAGGTAGGTCGATTTTTTTTTTTTTTTTTTTTTTTTTTTATTATTATTGAACTGTACTCCCAAATAAACATGGAATTTCAAAATGCTGGACAATTTATGCTTTGATAATCTGGTAACAATTAATAAATTGATAAATGAATTCTAATAAAATAATACATACATTTTATTTCTTCTATTAACCTTTAAAAGAACAAAAACAAAGCACAAGGCATAATTTTCTGATTAAAAAAAATAATTTTTTTATCCAGACCATGAAAAAAACTTTTGAGTAGGGGCAAATTTTGTGAGTAGGTCGCGTTACTGCAAACAAACATTTTTTTAAGGATGGCCTAATGTGAAATGTGTGTAAAATACTTTGGCAGGCTATAACAAGCTAGTTTTGGTGCTTATGTGTTTAATGCCAGTTGAAAGGGTATAAAGATTTACAAGTCAAAGTTGAAGGGACTTGCATAAAAATTTCAAGACATCAAGACTACAACTTGTGACTAAATTAAATGACAAAATTTTGAGCCTTCAACGTTTTATAAGTTACTGTTAGTGCCTGAAATATGCACAAAGGGGCATCTGAGGTCTTTATTCACCAGTTAAGCTGGAATGCCACCATATGACCTATACTGTGTCGGTGAAACCCAACCAAGAAAAAAAAAAAGTTCCTTAATACTTGCCATACATTATTCATATTAATTTTCACAGGCAGTTAATCATGTCATTAATAGATTTACATTTTCTTTCTAATTGTATAAATCTTACTATTTGTGTTTAATTGTTTTTCACATTATTCATTTAATCATACCAATTGTGTTCATTGCTACAGCAACATGTGTTCAATCATACATCGCTAAAATGTAACAGCTATTTTTTAATAAATGATAAATCTTACATTAGTGTTTTTGTTGTTAGTATGAGTAAGAATTCCATAAGCCAAAGTTACAAAGTCTGATTACAGCATCTTCTCAAACTTTTATCACACTTTTATCTGCAATTTTGGAATATTTACAGCTCTATGGGAATCCTATAATAGACACATTGACATAATGCTGGCATCAGCCTGATCAGTGCTAAACTACCCTTGATAACCCTGTCAAAACTGATTATTCCTGGAACTAACCCCTTAAATGCTGCTGTCAGGACTAGTCACAGAACTAGCTCTTTATGCCACTGTCAAGACATAACAGTTTTAGAACTATACCGTTAATGCTGCTGTTGAGACTTGTCCATTCAATAAATATCATATTAACGCGGTCAAGACAGGTAAGTTCTAAAACTATGCCCTTAAGTCTGCAGTCAAACCAGATCAGCTCTAAACCTTTCCCTTAATGCTGCTGTATATTTAATTTATATTTTTGTTAATAGGTATTTGTTTATAGGTAAAACTATGTAATTTAGTTTCTTCTTCATGTCCAGTTTAAAAGGCGAATGTTTTAAGTCGTTGATGCAGCATATATGAAAAGATTATAAGATATTAACCTGAACCCACTGAGTGATTTACAAAAGAAATGCTGTTCAAGAATGTGTTGTATGATGGAAGCTTAACAAGCCAAGTCAAAAATATGATTTTAGCTCATCAAGATAATTATGAAATAAAGCAATGCCAACTAAATATTTGGAAAATTACATAAGTCTTAGGTAAATAAGGATTACAATCTTTGTTCTTACATGTGAAATGGTATGTATTTGTATATAGGTACCGGTATTAAAATAAAGGCATTAAGAGTTAAATAAAGGTAGACAACTATTGTCAACCACTTTGATCCCAGGATATAAACAAAGTAAGTCAATTAATCATTTCTTGAAGTATATACCTCCTTACAGTCACAAAATGTCCTACAGTATGCTATAAATACCTTCATTTACCAGAATAATTATTCATAATATCAACACAAAAAATTAGCAAAATATGAATGGTTGAGGCAAGTTCAGCAATCGTAGATTATTTACTGAGCAACATTACCTTGTCTTGTCAATAAATTATCCTAGTTTGATGTTCATATTGCCAGAAAACAGAATTTGTTTTAAAATGGGTATTTTCATTATATTATTTGATAAATAATCATACTATACACAATAATTGAAGAATAACAACTCAGTTGACACCAGTTTTAAAATGTAATATTTTAATATTTCAACCATGCCAATTGAAACCAGCTCACCAACTTTTCAATATAAAATTCAAAATTGCATATACAAAATGTATATCAGTTAGAATATGTATCAATACCTGATAAATAACATACAAAAAATATATGTTATATATCAGTTCCTAACACAAAAACATTATACTGGTAAGTAATGGCAAGTTTTCAGTACAGGTACAATACAATGAAGTTGACAATAATAATACTGAAATACACTGGTCATCAGTAAATTAGTTGTATATTATAAACTCATAGTGAAAATTGTTTGAAATAACACAAAATCTGTGTTCCGTTAAAAATGGAATATATCACTTATACCATTGTTATATATTTTACAATTGTAATTCCAAAACCATGCCAGAATTTCATTTGAAATAAAAATTCACTCTGCATATTCACTCAAAAGTTACAGTCTAACCTGCCTATAGTGGTCAGTATGGGACAGAGCTAAAATGACTGCTATAGACAGGTGGCCACTATATCCAGGTTGATATGAAAATCATAATTAATTATAATAAAATATCATTCAATATGGATGTTCTCTTGAAATATATTCATTTTTTCTAACAAAAGCAAATTGCAATATGTAAGATATACATGAAATAGACACAACTTTTACAGTAACCATATTTTTCAATGATACTGCAATGCTTATGCTGTTCATAATTTGACTGAAGAAGCCACACCATACAGGCAAACAGAGGGCTAATAAAACTTCTTTTGATCACGAAACCACAAGATCTTGCCCAAAAGAAAAATAGTAACAAATTCAATGAGAACAAAATCTTGTTAAAATGCAAACAAAATTTCTAAATCGCTAAACTGTATTTTCAGTCATGGTATTATAAAAACATTTTAATAATGGTAATCTGTAATTATCAGCTGTTTAAAACTTCTAGTCAGGTGCCATAATATTAACACTGTAATTTTGTACAGTTAACATATATTTTTTTGTCTGGCTGACGGTTACCTTGTCTCTTTTGGACTGATATTTGGTGGCTGCTGACCATGTTAAACAAGGTCATGTTCTTAACAGTGTCTTTTTATAGGAGTTTTTTTCCGTTGGATCTTAAACTGACCGTTACGGTTACAGGAAGGGTCACATTATATCAAGGTGACTGTTTATACAAGTTTGACTGTATCAGCTGCATGCCAAAAAATAGCTTGATGTCTTTTCAATTCAAATGCTGTCAGCATTACTAAAAATAACATGTTTAAAAAAGATATGTGTTTACAGTTATTACCTTTCTGTATTTACACTCAGATCTGACTGTACCTTTTGCATGAATGTTCATGCTGGCCTTTTTAAAGGTGTAGGACACAGATTGCAAACTAGTGATTCCTTTGAGAAAAAATGAAATTACTTCATAAACTGACAGCAGCCGTGTATACAGTTTATATTAACATCATGATTATCCAATGAAAAGTAATGTTATATTATATTTATAAATTTATCAAGCAAGCGATTATTCATGACATTATAACATGTCAAAACTATTTTAACTAATTCATAATACTGCAAAAATGCTATTTTTTGATTAAAATTAATTAATTGATTTGCAACAGCAACTTAAATGAGCCGCGTCATGACAAAACCAACATAATTGGTTTGCGACCAGCATGGATCCAGACCAGCCTGCGCATCCCCACAGTCTGATCAGGATCCATGCTATTCGCTTACTAACCCTATAACAAGTAGAGAAACTGATAGCGAACATCATGGATCCTGATCAGACTGTGCGGATGCGCAGGCTGGTCTGGATCCATGCTGGTCGCTAACCCACTATCTTGGTTTTGTCATGACACGTCTCAAATAGATAATTCAAAAGCAATGATTGTCCAATGAAAATCCATGTTACAAATATGCAGTATTATAAAGAAATTAATAAAGGCACAAGCATTTTTCATTACAAGCAAATACACACAATGTTAATTGAAACAAGAGGGCCATGATGGCCCTGAGGTGGCTCAACTGTATATAGGCCTCCCCCCCCCCCCACCTGGCAGGGCCAATTTTAACCCAAGGGCTTTTATTTAAAAGAAGATATTTAAAGTTTTTCTTTCGGTTGCCATGGCAACCAGAGTTCTGCATGGAATTAAATTCTTTGAACAATTTTTAAATGTGACCACCAAAGGAACATTCCTGTGAAGTTTGGATGAAATTAGCTTAGTGGTTTATGAGGAGATGTCATTTAAAGTAAAAGTTTACGAGGGACGACGGACGAAAAGCGATCACAAAAGCTCACCCTGTCACTTTGTGACAGGTGAGCTAAAAAAAGGGGAAACCTTACAGTGTAAAAGATAAATTATCTATATACAGTGTATGCACACACAATAATAAGTTTAATGATGACTCATTCCTCAAAACAAATACATAAAACAACCTTATATTTTAATTCCATGAATAAGTTATCACTATGCCAAGCCACATGGTCATATGATCTTACACTGGCTGCATAAACAGACTGGAATATCTAGCTCCAGGGTAACTGTCTATGGTGGTAACAAGGCTCTGTCAAGTTTCCACTTAACAATTATCCAAGAGCTTGATATTACTGTCTGTGAAGACAGCCGGTGTTTGATTTTTTTTTGCATATAACATGTTTATAAGTTTTCAATAAGCACTTTTTCTAACAGTAGCGTATGAATTTAAAACTTATTTTTTTGTAACAGCAATATGACGTCATTCTAAGAACGCAATTCATTCATAAAAGGGGCACTGGAAAGAGGACATTTAAAGCATGCAATTTGTCTTGACATGATTTTCTAGCATCTGTGAAAATAGTAGATTATCATATATGAATACATAAACTATGATAGTGAATATTTTATCAATGACATTAATGGAATTTATGGAAAATTTTTTAAACCGATCATAAACAGTAAAGGTTAAAGTGTTATATTTTTCAATTTTTTTTGCAAATAAAAATGAGACAAATCACCATTTAATTCAGTTATTAGTCACAAGGCTATTTTGTTCAATGCCATTTCAAACCATTGCCATTTAAAGAAATAAAAACGTTTCTTAAAACACAAATGTTTTTCAAAATTTGTCACACGTCTTAATTCTAATCATATAATAAAAAGTACTTCAAAAAATTGTTGTCTACAGAAAAATTAAACAATTCCAGATGTTAACTACATTTACTATAATACTTAAACATTATTTCTTTAATAATTTATGACAAAAACTCGAGATTTCCCTCCAAACAATTGCGACATAATTGTATACCTTAAAAGATCATTATACTTATGATATAGAGAACCATTATTATAATATTGGATTTCCTTTATTACCTTCATCGTAAATCCATTTGGACCTGTGTCAACCTTGTGGTAATATCTTATACGACACAAACATTTTCCTTTATCTTATACTGTATATTTTCTAACAAATGCATCCCCTACCCACCCTGAATTACTGCTTTATTATCAATACAAGTAAATAAACACTATTTAAATACAGCTGGTGCTTCTGGAATATTTAATCAGGCAGAAAATAACACAAAAACAGGGGAAAAAAATGTTTATTTCGACAATATTTAACTTTTTTATACTTTAATTAACACCCCCTTTAGGAAAATGTAACACTATTGGGATGTTATTATTAACGAGTATCCAGTATACTAATACGTGATTGTGATGATAATTTACAAATACAATATTATTGTACTTCAACACATCACAGCTAGATACACCCACTAAAGGAAGAACACAAACAATACCTTTTTTTCTATCAGGTGCAGTTCTTTACTCTCTTTTTTTTGCATGCAGCACAAAAAAATGATATCTTGAATCTACCGTATACTTTTAGAAACTTATAACCCTAAGCTGATACTGGCAGCTACAGATTCTAACCCATGTGACCAGTACAATCCAAGATCAGCTGGCACATCCATGCTGTCTGATCATGGTCTGCATTGTTCACTATCCTGTCAGTACTTATATTGAAATTTTCCCTAAAAATGAACGGTTTTATCCAGATTAAAAGATTGGTTAGTCCATTTAAGATATTCAGTATGTAATGGGTTAATGGGTATAACTCTTTAGATAGAATATAAAAATAGCACTTTTTAAACATTAAAAAATCTCATATATTGTAATTACTAAAATGTTATCACTGTAACAAGAGTAAAGATATAAAAGCACTTAAAAAAACGAGGAGAAAGATTTACTAATAACCTAATATATTTGTATTTACTTAAAATATCAAAGCAACAAAACAAATCTTGTAACAAAATACATAACAAATGTATGACAATAGGTCAGTTAATTCTCTCATCCAACTAATACCCTGAAAGCCCTGTTCATAAAATCATGTTAGCAAAGAAAATATTGAAAATTACTATTCTGATTTATGTAAATAAAATCTATGATGGAGCTAGCAAAGTTTTGCACTTACAGAAATACTGAAATCGATTTCTTTACAGATTTTGCATTATTATTATTTCCAGACAAATTGAAATAGTTACAGAAATAAAGAATCATGTTAAATTATTTCATAAAAAATTTCTAGGTCAGAAAGGGGGTTTTAAACAACAGGGTAGTAACCGCTGAAAAAAAGTTTCAGGAAATAAAACTTAAATGTCAACCTAATAATGTGTCTTTTATTCTTTGGTTGTGGGCAAAACTTTGTATCTTCAATGATACAATAGTTTTCTGTGTAAAAATAAATTGTAAAACCAGATAAAGCAATGTCAAACCTAAACAAGGTATCATTACAGTGCATTCAGGCGCACACTTGCCTGAATGTTAGCTGATGTAAACTAAGACAATTTTCCAACTCAGATTTGTTAAGTATAGTTATATATCTTTCTAAAAGGCATAAATCTCTTTTATTATCACAGAAATTTGTCTGCACCATATCCAAGCCAAGTCTTGGTTGTCTCATAGGCAAGGAACAAGGCACCAGTTGCTGGAAATGTACGTAATACTGTAGGGCCGAGTCCTTTGTATAATGCCAAAATTCCTGTTAAATACACAAAATAAATATATATTTAACCTAAAGTTGGTGAAACATGACAGACTAAGAAAGAGCATAATTATGTTACCAGACATTCACACAATGTGAATTGATAACTAGTTTTTTTAACTGATCCAAATGACTCAGAATTATTGTAGGGTACATGAGAACAACATTTCTTCATAACGAAATGGTTCTTTATTATCTGTACAAATAATATCAAATTGTGTTAAAATACATAAAATGTAAAAATTGAAAATGAGAAATTATTTTTCTGAATATACATAAACAGTATGTTTGTATTATAAAAGCATAATTATTTTCTAAACACACCAATATGTAAAATGGTGTACAGAGGCCAACTTTAGAAATTATCAATGTGTTTTTGCTGAAAAATTACTGCTCAGTCAGGATATATTTCTGAACATGAAAACTTCACCAGATAGATGATTTTTAAACTAATTGTCAAAATTAAATAATTAATTTAAGTAACTACTACTTATTCCATCTCAGATGGGCGTAAAAAAATTATAAAATTTTAGAATTGTACCTTCTTCTTTGTATATTTGTTTTATTACAGTTCTAAATGTTGGTTCTATAGTTCCTACTGTACTAGCTACTTGTACACGTGACTTTACAACATCAGCTGGAAATATTGCTGTCCACAAGGCCACACCTCCAATACCACCTGATATTATTGTCTTTACTGGCCCTTTTGGAAGAAAGGTAAAAGATAATAAAGGTGCATCAATTTTAAAATAGTCTTAAATTTTAATTGTAATAAAAAAAAATCATGAAAATAGTTATCATCAATTATTAGTTTTAGTATAAAAATTCCATTAAAATTGGAAATATGCCCCTTTGCAATTGCCTTCTTGGCTAAGTTGTTCATGTAACTTACTTAAAATCGCTTGCTCCCCATTGGTGTTGATTCAAATCCATAGAGACCATGTGACATGCCTTTCATGTGTCAATTAAAATATCTAGCTAGGTAATGAAAGGGTGTTACTTCTACTCTCACAGGCTGACGGTCACCTTTGGACTTGTCTAAAAAATTGCCATATGACCTGTGTGACTTTGAATAAAATAATAAAAGCAAAATCAACACTGAACAAGAGCATTGTGGAGTTAACGCTCGTCAGTTGAAAAGGGGCATATTTCTTAAAACATTGCTTCCAGTTTATGCACCTAGTCATGATAAGCAAGTATTCCAAATTTCATGTTGATAACTTTTAAAATATAGAATAATGTGCAACATTAAAATTTTATTACAACAACAGTCACTGCTGCAGCAATCATAAAAGTTGGACTTCAAATCGGGATCCGACAAGCTAACCATACCTACCTATTTCATCTTTAGTTTTGCCCTCTGGTGTTAAAAGATGTCTTGAGACTTCATACCCTCCAAAGAAGAACACATACCCAGGTATTTCTCTCATAAATGTTGCAGTGAGGCCCTTAAACAGGCCTCTTATACCTTCCTGCCTTAAGATCTCCTTTGTCAACCCAAAGGGGCCTCTGAAAACAACAACATTAGATGCATAGGATCAGTTGCAGTGCAATTTTTAAATAGATGAATACTACAAAAGATATCATAACTGCACAACTTAAAATACTTCACAAGGGTTATCGTTTATCACCAATAAAACTAAAGATAAGAATTTAAATTCATTATTTTGTAAGGTAATACCAGGATGTACAAGCCAGTTCCAGATGCATCATTTTTATCTATATAAATAAATACTGTCTATACATTAGACAAGTTTATTGTGTTAACAAAGCAATATCAGTGTAACATGTGCTATCTCTGAAAATACATATGAATATATGTGGTATGAAACCTACAAAGTATATCTGTTACCAATAAAAATCAAAGAAATAAGAAAACAATGTGAGGGGTTGAATTTTGTTAAAATCATGGTGATTTGGCCTTGTAGTCAGTTAAACTTTAGTCAAAATGACCCCCAGGATTACATGGCTAGTGAACTCCCTGGGTCACTGACCATATCTTGAGCACATCATACTAACATTTTTAATCTGTTCATGCCACCTTCAAGTTTACCCTGTGATGCCATCTCCCTCATTGCTTGCAGACGACATTTTACTAGTTCTGTTGGACATAGAGTGAAGGAGGAGAAGAAAGCTGCACAACCACCAGACAAGGCATTCTCTAATGGATTTAGATGAAACGTACTGTCTTTACTAACTAAATAAGCCATTCCTTTCTGACAAATGCCGTAAAACATAAACAGAACGGAGTTTTCAGCTATATTAGCAGCTAGAGCTGGCACTGTGCCAGCATATAGTCCTCTAGCAATACCATCTTGTTTGTATGTTTTAACAAAACAGTCAAATGCATTTTTGTAAAGTGTAGGAAATGTCTGCATTTTTACTTTAACTGTGTCCAGTGATTGGCCAACATAAACTGAGGCAAAACCACCTGTAAAATAACAAAACTTTTTGTCACATATTAAATAAAAATTATCATACAAATAAATGAAAAATCTTATTTTGGTGCAGTCATTTGGTGTATTTCTTTGATATTTTGTTTGGTTATTTTATTGGGTTTTTGTTTGTTTTTTTTTACCTACAAGTTTGGCTAACATAACTGTGGAAACAAACTGACTCATCGAAATGTTCTCATGAACCACAATATTATCTTTATCAAAATTCTACAAAAATCTAGTGACAGTTTATCAATTATTTCATTTTGCTGGGTTTTATTTCACACCATTACCTAGATGCCAGAAGCAATACTGACTGGTATATGCCATCTGTATAGAAACCTATCAAGGTGATTTTATTGCAGTAGAACCGCAAAACTTTTACAAACTGAAATATAAGCTTACTTTTATTAAATGATTCATCTACTCAACAAAGTCATTGGCATTAGCTTGAAGCTCCTTGATTTATGTAAATAAGACTCAAGGATTACTACAGTAAACTTGAATAAGACATTGACACCTACCTGCAGTTCCACCACTGAAATCAATTATACCATCTATCACTGGATTCCGTTTATAAACAACACGTTCAGAAGTTGGTAAATGATCGCCAAGAGGTATTGTCTCTATTATTGGCAAGGGTGATGAGTCTGAGGTTACAGTCATATTTGCTAATGTTGGTTAACTTCTAAAATCAAAGAAATTCTCATTTAATTTAGACAATTGTTTAAAAACAAACACAAACAAAACATGAAGAAACACTCAGATTAGCATGGTATGAGCAAATATTAACAGATCTCAACAACCAGTATGAAACATGGGATTTTAGACCCACTAATATCATAATTTATAATAAAATATGGAGACAGACTTGTCCTTTTCAACTTTTGTCTTTCCTTCTAGATTTATTTTCTTACTGTAACAAAAGTAAAATTTACATTTCAGACAAGTTCCATTACAAAATTAATTTAAGATACCAGATGTGTGGGTTTTTTTTGCCAGAGTTTATGTCAAACAAACTGTGTTTATGTCAAACAGACACTTTTAAGGTCATATGGCAACTTTCTTGCTTTACTGGTGGAGAAAACCTAAGGTGCCCCTTTGTGTAATAAATCAGACAAACAAGGGCACCTGAATTTCTTCTGGCAAAAGAGTGCACCTGAAAAAAATCTTTCCAAGCAACCTAGATAACTTCATATAAAAAATATTTGTAATGTAAGTAAATAGGTAAAATCATATTTATATAAGTATTTACAAAAAAATGATAACAAATAAAAAACATTAAATTTTTCATCATTTACATTCCTTGAGATATTCTGTATTTTACTTGTATATTATTATCTTCAGAAAGTATGACAAACCTGTGATAAATAATACAGTAAAGCAAAAATAAGTACTTGTTAAAACCACGGTAACAATAAATTTTACAAAAGATTGAAATATTAAGGTGTAGGATGTTGATAAAACATTGTAAAACAATATACACTTTCAATTCTACCTGTAATTTTGGCATGCCTAAATTGTCACTCACATGTACTTTTATGAAAGGGCAGAGTGAAATGATTGCAAACTTGACAAAAGGGCGACCAAGCCCGTTCTTATTTTCTCCAGGTATGTGGGTTTGTATATTACATGTATTATGGAATTCTAATGCCCATTCATTAAGGCAATGTTTATGACACACTCGGTTTTAGTTTTCAGCTTTCTGGCTTCTGATTTACCAGTTAATGAAGACGAGTCCATTTCATTTTTATTGCATCAGAAAATCAGCTTATGGTCTATTTCAAGGTTAAATTGACCGGTCAGTTATACCTTGTTTAAAGTGAAAGGAAACTACATTATCTTGATGCTGCTCAATTATGAACAGACTGTTGATTAGGTATATAAATTATAATAAAGAGCGCTAGTAAACAAGCATAAGTTTTTCATTGTTGTGCATTTTACAAAATTCATTTATCGGTCACGACAACCAATGTCTCACAGGTTGGCATCATGTATATATGTACATGTCTTACAATTTATCATCAGCAGCATTGTTTCCTATGACTTTGTTTCTGAGAACACTACTAAATTGTTGTATATATCTTTAAATATGCATGTAATTTTTGTCCAGCTTCTATACCAGTAGTCACATGAGTCCTGTTTATAACCATATTCATAAATTCAGTATTGCCCTAGAAGGAACTTTGATAAGCTAAACTTGTAATGTTAATAATAATTAAATCCTGTGTGTAATATATTGTGCCGGATGGGAATATTCAGCCAAAATGTATTTAAACATTTAATAAGCTAATTACTTCATGTGACATACATTTAGCAAATATGCAAAATGTTCATTAGCACATCACAACTAGAGGTGGCGCTGATGTCCCGGGGGCATGCAAAGAAGATTTGGACGAACTTTAACCATCCGAAAACTGGTACATTACCAGGTGAAAATCAAGTGACAGTTGCCTACGGTCAAAATATACACAAAATTATTTTGTTATACATGATAGTTCAGTTATATTTATTCAACTTACCCTTATTCAACCGTTCAAAGCTACCGTGAGTACCGATGAAAGGTTTCAACAAATACTGTAAACATAGGCATACATGTCAGCTTGTCTGGTTCCTAGCTTTAATGAAAAATAACGTTAATGACTCGGGTAACCAAAGTACAGGAAACAACACACCTCCAGTTATCCTTTAAGATTATTGGTTAATTAAATTCAAGGTCAAATAGGAGTCCACTGTAATGTAATGAGCTTTTAAAACTTATCAAAATATTTACATTATTTAGGGTATTTATTGTTCAAGATCATTCTTGAGAATTACGAACTGGCTGGGGTGTTGAATTCATTGACTTTGCTTTTTTTGAAACTTCGACACCGCAATGTACAGCACCAACATTTTCCCGCGCTTTTCAAATGTAACGTCTCAAGTTTTCAATGTTATATCGTAGTCCAGGTCCGGTATTTTGACATGGTTACCTTAATTCGACACCTTAAATTTAAGTTTAAAAGTAGATATAGCATAATTTTTTAAAGATGTATTTATTTTTGTTCAATATAAATCCGTGTTAATATTTGAGCGGGTGTGGGTATTACCGAACATGCGAACTGAGTTTTATTATTTTCAATTTTCGGGCTAAACCTTCATACTATAACCGATGCTAGCGCTTGTGTGGTCCGATTTGTTTCATGGCGTCATCAAATGAATGATGAACGTAAATGTCGATCACAATATTAGTTAAAACACTTATTTTTGAGATTTTATGATGTTTGTAAAAAAGGGTGTCGGATTAATGGGTATGTTAACCCATTTCTTCATATGTATTTTCACGACTTTTTAATCTCCCCCTTTTTGAGGTCTCAACTAGTGAGAAAAAATGCCCTATATAATTAGACCTATATAAAAATCTGGAGACAAAAGTGATCCCTCGGAAGCATTAATCACAACAAAATTACATAAGAATTGCAGACTCGGTTTGATTGAGTCTGTACATGAGGGATAATGAATAAGTGCAACATCCCTCACGCCCCCTAGCACCGGCTTGAGCGGTACTCAATTCTCAACACTTAATAGTGCTGGCATCAATGATCCCGAAGGACCAGAAAAATATAACAACACTGAAGTGAAGTACGGGGCAACTTTTTACGGCTGCCACACGGCACTTGACACCTGCTGTTGTGAAGTATAAAAATCTGGAGACAAAAGTGATCCCTCGGAAGCATTAATCACAACAAAATTACATAAGAATTGCAGACTCGGTTTGATTGAGTCTGTACATGAGGGATAATGAATAAGTGCAACATCCCTCACGCCCCCTAGCACCGGCTTGAGCGGTACTCAATTCTCAACACTTAATAGTGCTGGCATCAATGATCCCGACACTTGTTTTCGTCTGAGAGATGTTGGTCAAAAAGTGATTACTTTCCAGCGCCGTTCCCCATCAACGCTAATTTTAGCTAGACTTTTTTTTTCGAAGAAAAAATTGAGGTATTGTTACAGTCATGTCGGCGTTCCCGTTGCCGTCCGCAAACTTAGATCTTGATCATAACTTTTAAAGTTCTTGATGTATTGTCTTTCTTACTTGGCCACAAAAGCCTTTGTGACAAGACCTTCAAGTAGACCAGACTAAACTGGACCTTCATTCATAAAATTCATAAAATCCGGTGGTGTCTGTTGTTGATATTGAGACATTTGCCAATCCCTTCGATTCATATTTCACTTAAATTAGCAGATTAAAAGTGACTGACACAATTTTTCAAGGGACAGGACGTGAAGTGGTTGCACACTTGGTTCAAGCGAGCGAATTGGTTGCAAACTTGACAAAATGTCGAACACGGCGTGATTTTTTGAAACGGGCGAACGATTTTTTGCCAGGCAAGTGGGTTTCTTTGTTATTTTGAAGTTCATTAGTATGTCTATTCCATAATGCAATATATATGCCACACTCGGTTTAAGGTTTCAGCATCCTAGATTCTGTTTTGACGAAGTTATTGAAGATATAAACTGATCATGTAGATATTTTGAAATTTGACATGTGACTGTTCTGGTCGGTTTTTCTCCTAATTTATTCGAATTTGTAAGTTTTGAACTGCATTTAACAATAACAAAATATGTTTCTGTCAATGCTGTACAAATGGTTTAGTTCGCAAGTCCGAAGATAACGTTCAATACACAAAAAAATCTTGTTCAAGCACATTTTGGTTGCAGACTTATACTTCAAGCATTTTTGGTTGCAAACTTACAGTATTTTTATTCTATTGAAATCCATAGTAAAATTTTGCAAAAGGAGTGTAGAAACCTATTTTCAATGGCAATTATTGACATTAATGTTTTGTTACTTGTTTTTGTTATAAATGTTATTTATACTTTCTTCTTTTACAACAGTTATCCACTTCCATGTTTCAAATTACATGGTTCTCGGTTCAATACTATAATCATCAGTAAAAGCCTGCATACAAAATAATAGCATATAGAATGTGAGAGTACTATTGTATGTAAGTGAATTATTTTCATCATAAACATAAGGACATGTGCACACATATACGATGTTACTCGGCAAAATTTCTAAAGTTTATCAAAACCACAAGAAATGTTAATTTGTTTGTTTCGTATGATCAGCAGTTGCTTTAGACATAAATTATGTAAATGTACTTTAATATTTTTACAAACCAAAAGTTAAAATTACATGTTTGTTTACAATATTTCGGATTTGATGTACATCATATGTCAATTGGTATTCTAAAGATGATTTTCATTATAAGATCATAGTATAAATGATATACGATCGGTTATTTACATTGACTGATACGTGACAAAACTACTTAAATGCATTGTTCGAGTTAGGGAATTTGGAAGATGTTTCGATTGGTCAATAATAAGGAACAATTTAAAGAAACATGTGAATAATGCCCTTGTGTCAATGTTAATATAGTTTTTATCTAGTATATAATCAAATTTATTTCAAATCTCAAAAAAGAACAATAATGAAAGCTGTTTGTTGCTATTTTCTTCTTCTTTTCCTTTACAGTTAGTCATGCCAAGATATAAAAAAAAAGTCCTGAGACTTTGTAAAAAAAAGAAGTATATCGAGGAGAAAAAATGATGAAGATAAACACAACTGAACTTCAATTTAGCATATTGTGTTATATATCTATTTGAAAGACCCTGTGTTAGGATATATCTGCACGCAT